ACTTTTAATAATTATTTATTTTAAATAATATAAAAAGCTACTTTTTGTTGAGAGATGATTATAAATATATTATAAACCCTAAGGACAAAAATCCCACCGAAAGCATCGTTTTCGAAAACATTTTGATTTCACCTCCAACTTAGGGGAAAACAACCACTCTTTAGTCGAACAAAAACACCCATCACCACTTTCATTCGAGAAAAAAAAAGCATGCAACCGGAGAATTTCGAGCTCTACCGGTTTCTCGCCCAGAACGGCGTCGTCGGAGGGTTTCCGACCAGTTCGGGTTTTCCGGCTATGCAAAGCTTCTCTAGTTCCTCCACGTACTACCCTTTGGAGATGTCCGGTGTTACCAGTGAAACGACGCCGCAGGATAGAGCTCTTGCCGCCTTGAAGAACCATAAGGAGGCTGAGAAAAGGAGGAGGGAGAGGATTAATTCTCATCTCAACAGGCTTAGAACTCTTCTCCCTTGTAATTCAAAGGTAATATACATATATATATATATAGTATTTCATTTAAGTAATTTGAAGCTTTTAGAAAAATGGGTTTTGAATTTAGATTATGATTGGCTTAAGTCTTGTTTGGATGTGCATTGTTGAACGTTGAATTCTTTTTCTTTCTCTTTCTTGTTGCTGTAGCTTGTTGACTGTTTGTTTCTCGGGAAAAAATAACAGTAGGGGATGGATTTCTTTTGACCACGGCCCACGAATTGCTAAATGACTCGACTTTTTCCTAACACAATTATTTGTAGTCGTTTCAGTGTTTTAATCCTTTGAAAAATAACAATAATCGAATTATCCGATAACCTAAATTAATTTATATTAAAAAATTAGATGATTTAATCGATTCAATTATTAGAATTATCTCTTTTAATCACGTGTAAACCCTAATTCATCATCATGACTTTTGACTCAAAGTGAATAAGCTTTTTGGTTCGATTTGTTTTCTTCAGACAGACAAGGCTTCACTTCTAGCGAAGGTGGTCCAACGAGTGAAGGAACTAAAAGAACAAGCTCTCGAGACGGCCGAGCTCGATAATTTACCGTCCGAGACCGACGAAATCACCGTGCTCTCGTGTGATTATTCCGACGACGGGAGATTGATCTTCAAGGCCTCGTTTTGCTGCGAGGATCGATCCGATCTCCTGCCGGAACTAATCGACATCCTAAACTCCCTCCACTTGAAGACCCTTAAGGCCGAGATGGCGACGCTCGGGGGACGTATACGCAACGTCCTGATCGTCGCCGCCGACAAGGATCACAGCATCGAATCGGTCCAGTTCTTGCAAAACGCGCTGAAATCTTTGCTCGAACGTTCGAATCCGAGCGATAGGTCGAAAAGGAGGCGAGTGTTGGATCATAAAATGATGGTGTAGTGGCCTTATCTATTTATCCATGGCCATTGTTTAAAAATTTCATCTTCAACCTTTTGCTTTTTAAGAGTGAGCTTATCTTTGTTTCTAGGGTTTTACATGCATCTTGATTGTATGGTGATTGGTGAGCTTAGGGTTTATCTTTTTTTTTATGAAACCAAGAAGATATGGGACAAAGAACTCTGTGTGTGATGTGGAATTGTTATATAAATGGTAAATTTGTGGTTTTGAATTCATTTTACCTCTGTTTTTAGATAAACGCAATAAAGGTTAGGATTCACTTACCCCTAATACTTTTAGATTATTCACTTACCCCTAATACTTTTAGTTTTATATATTTTTTTAAGAACGTTGAACGAATTATCATAAAAGATGTAAAACTAAACAATTTAGATGTTAAAATGAAATAAAACTAAACTTTAGATATAGTTTTAAAAAGATTGAAAGTTTATGTACTAAAATGAATCGATTGATCTAGTAAGACGAGATATTAGATTTCAAAAACATAGCTTAAAAATTTTGAGTGGTGCAATAAACGAAACAAAAACTAAAGTTTTTAATGATTGGTACTAAAATAAAACAAAAAAAAAACTAAACATTAAATATGGTTTTGAAAAATTTAAAGTTTAAGTACTAAAACAGATCAAAACTGATAGTTCAAGTACTGAGCGTTAATTTACCCATACAAATATAAGAGACATATGAATTTATGAGATTTAGACATGAGAAGCTGCAGTTGAAAAGGGGTAGCAAGAATCAAATCCAATCATCTGAAATTATATATATGTGAAAGTAATTGGTTGGTGTCGTTTTGTTTGTAAAAAGCAGTCGTTTGTGTGAGTTTCGATGAGTTTGCGAAGATCACGTATTTTGTCTATTACGTATATGTTTATCACGTAGAGGGTAATGCTTCTTCCCTCCCTCACCATTTATTTTTTTTAACACCCAATTTGGAAAGAAAAAAAAACTAATATTTTATTCAAAAAAACGAAAAGTAATTATTCGAGTCGGTCCAACTCGAATCAAAAAATTTAAAAGAAATTTACTTCAAAGGTTTATTCGAGTCAACAGATATATCCTTGTGAAATAGAGATCATTGATGGTTAAATTATCTATTAACACATATCAGATTCAGGTCGATGCCGATAATGAATAAGCACGATAAAAAAATGAAGTAATGGGCAGTGTTAGAGTTGTGTGATAGTATGGTGAATGGTTGTTATTCTTGTAGGTCTCGGGATTCAAGCACTAGAGATTGTAAGGTATTTAAGCGTTATTGTTAAACGATTTAGAGTTTTAAAACAGATTTTTACTTGTAAGCATCTTAGAAAAAACAATTGCTCCACGTGATATTTTAATATGGTTTATTTTATCAATTATTTTTATATTTATTAATATATTGTCTATGTTATTGTAAATAAAAAAAATAAGAAATAAATAAAAAGGGATGACAATAATTTTTAGATGATCTATGGTAATAATTTAACTTAATTTGAGTTTAATAAAGGTATAATGTCAAAATTAGTCCCCACTTTATCAAAATGATCATTTTACTTTTTATTCTATTTTAGAGCATTTTGGTTCTATCGTTTTATTTTAGGATAAAAAGACCCTTAACATTTGATAAAATAATCACTTTGTCTCTTAATATTTTATTTTCGAGGCATTTTAGCCCTCAACATTTCATTTTAGATTAAAAAATACTCATATTTTAGAATGTTAATTGTGTGTTAACTAATGATTTTCATCTATGGAAGGAAATTTTTTCTAGAAGTAAAACGTTAATGGTCAAGATGCTCTTAAAAAATGGAATTTAATAAATATTGGGGGTCTATTTTTGATATTTTACCTTAAATAAAATGGAAAATGAAGAGGAGAGGCGTGAATAAAGGGTAGGCTGACAAGAAGAAAGTAACAAATGATGGTCGGTGTATGAGAAGAAAAAAGAGATTTTCGTTCACAAATTTCTTCACAAATTTCTAGGGCAGGAAGAAGAAAGGGAGACAAAAGGAAAAACAAAGTGAATAATGTCGGGAAGACGTGCAATCTCAGCTCGTCTTTGTCTCCCCCTGTCGTCTCTGCTTCTTATTCCCCCCAAGGAATCATTGCTTCCATCCCCCACCTCTTTCCTCAAAGTATGTGCCCTTTTCTTACATCGTTTTGTATCCACATTAGATCCGATTTTAAACTTATTGAGTCGTGTCGATAGTTAAAAAGAATGTTATTTTATTAATAATTATATAGTCTAGTAAGATGAAATATTAAATTTGTTAAGTAAAGTTAATAATTTAAATTTTAACGTTTGTGTATAGAGTAAAATGGGTTGAAAGATTTATCTTTATAATGAGTTTTTGTAAAATTCGATTTAAATTACTCGATTAATAGATTGAATAACAATGATTAATTTACAAAAAAGAATATTGTTTACTTTTAAGATTCTGAGATCGAATAACTATTATTCATTCGAAATTTGATTTGATTCTAAGTAAGGAAGGTTTCATTCGATTCAAAGCTTGATATAATTTTTAAGATAAAAATCTACATCCAATTCTAACAATTATAAAAATTTTCTCATTTTATGCGATAAAATAAATATTTATTTGAAAAATATAGAGAGATAAATATTTTAGTAATTATTTCTAAATATATAGAGAAAAAATATAGTATTAAGATTGTACATTTGACCCGGTTCTGACTTGATCCTAAATTATTTTTTTAATAAATGATTGGGTTTAGATTGAATCAGGGTCGGGTTTAGAATGAAAAATACTTGACTTGACCCAAAAATGAAAATATAATATATATCTTAATATATTATATTTATTATAAACCTGGTATGATTTTAAATTCTATAGAAAAAAAAATCTTGATCCTATATAATTAGATATGAACCCTTTAGATTCGAGTTGAATGAAAATCCCTAATTCTTTTAGGGATAAGCTTCAATTGGGCTTCAAGAAGATGAATTGATTTTAATTGGGCCCAAATTTTAGTCACTTCCCAAACAGACCCCTAAGGGCCCCCTTTCCATCCAATGGGTAATTCCATTGTCTAAATTTCAGTCCATTAGGAGAGTAAAGTGCATACGAGACAATTAGTATGATGTTGGTTAAGCCGAACGAACCGAACGTTTAACGAATCGTTCGTGAAACATTTAGCGGGAAGTTCATTTATTTATTAAACAGGCGAATATGAACAAGATTTTATGTTCACCCAATTACTTTTATGTTCGTTCATTTATCATTTTAACGAACGAACATGAACAAGCTAAATTTCTTAACGAACGAACACAAACAAGAAATTTCGTTCACTTAGTTGTTTGTGTTAGTTCGTTTGTTCGATTAAAACTAAACAAACTAACATGAGCATGCCCTCATCCATGCTCGTTCGGTTCATTTACGGGCCTAATGTTGGTCCACTAGCAAACATTTCTAATTCTTACTACATTACTAATAGTGGACTTTACATATTCGAATTCGAATTCAAATCATTTTTAATCGAACTGAATTTTATTTACTCACATTGATATGTCTTATGATTATATTTGTTCATAAGTCGGGATTTTAGACTATGTCGGGTCGGATCAGATTTATTTAAATAAAAATCGAGTATAGAGAATTCAGACTATTTTGGCCTGGAAAATTGCTTTTTATAATTTATATATTGGCAATGACCAACTCTAGCTGGATCGAGAGATAACGAGTTCAATACCCTAAACAAGTTGTCCCAAAAGAGTTTTCCCTAAGTCGGAATCCGAACTCGACTCAACTCCGAACTTAGTCGGGGTCTTTGCGACTACCGGACACCGGGGTCTCGGACCGAAAAAACGAAAAATGGCGGCAATGACACAAATGTTTTCTATTCCAAGGCTTGTTTAGGCCAAAGACGTTTCCACTTAGAGATCTCTTCTTTGTAAAGCTTTCTAATTCCACCATAAAATCCATCAACTTCATTGCCTACTTCTCTATGATCTTTCCTATTTATCGCCGTTTTCCGCCATCTCGAGCTTGCCGGGTACTGCTTGAACTCTAGCGTCACCGTATCTGTGTCGACAAACACAATGCTGTTACTTTGAAACTCATGGTTAAAGCATACAATGCCGGCTATATTGCTCGGTCCTCTCGGTTTTTTTCTTGAAGTACTCATGTTTAACACTCGTACTCGACACACAGGCCATAGCTAAACACCAATTTGACATCTTTTGCACCTAAAAAGACTATGGCATGCTAACAAGAGAATGTTCATCGAGGTTGCTGATGATTTCGACAACATCAATGGTGCAATAAGGCGAAAACCGGAAAACAATGATCGTAACATCGCTATAGAGCCTCGGTTAGCAATGAAAACAGTCTAGTTGAGTTTAAAGCACAGCTCGATTAGTTCATATAATCATGTTTTAAAATATGAATAAAGTCCGAGGCTGAATCCCGGAATCGATAATCTTTCTCCGATCCCTAGACCATGATCTCGATGAGTATACATGCAAGGCAGATCAAGTGATTTTTCCCTTACCTGTATATTGACAACGGCAATGGTTCTCATTTCCATCACACGAATCCATGTGACCAACAACACCATACCACCACCCTGCAAGAAATCAAGCTCACATTGATTACCATATTGTTTCTAGTAAGTGAAAGAATTAAAGTTTCGGGTTCGAGTCTCGTGAGCCGAGAACACATACGATCCAATCCGACTCGACTTTAGAACAATCGAGACTCAATATGACTACCGAGTACCCCGAATAGCTATCGGGAAAACCTCACCATAGGGGAATTCTTTGGTCTTTCTCCATTGAATCTCAATATGATCACCAGGTCTTAGATCAACTAACGAATCAGAAATGTGAAGATCATATGAACAAGTATCGACGGGCGGCGCCCTCAGCCTATCCCACGATATGTTCTCCTCCGCCGTCTGCCGTCCGTGAGGCGAGTACCTAAAAACAGATTACCAATGTCAAAATCAAGCCCAGGATTCAAATTCACGATCGCCGTCGCATTTTCGAGTCGTGATTTATTGCGGTTGCCGGCGATTATGCCATAATCAAATCAAATTACCTTGCCTGAAAGGTATCGGTCTTGGAATCATAGCTAAGGTTGGCATCATAACAAGATAACATAAACCCAGCATGTCCATTCTGCAAAAAAAAAAAACAATCATTTAACTAAAATCATCGCGTTCATCACTCATCAGCAACATTTAACGATTGTTAAAAGTTACCTCTCGGTTATAAACTTGTGCTGGGAACCAGAATTCGCCGGTTTCAAGAGACAGATACCAAGCCATGATCGAATTAACCGGCAAATCACTCTTCTTGAGCTGAATCTCACCATTTTCAGCTCTGGGTTTAGAGAGAAAAGGGCAGATTCTCGAAATCGAATCGATTAAACCCTTTTGGTTACTTCGATCCAAGAGATTTCTGGGTCTCATTTTCGAAGCAATATGCCATTGCCATTCCCTGTAAGCTGAATCCCCAATCACTCTACCCCATTTTCGCTTCATATGTTTCTCCCAAAGATGGTCGCTCGTACAACGGTCCCTTAACGAGGAGCAAACTCCGGCCATGGCGCATAGGCCGGCCGGCGAAAGGCGGTCCAGGATGCATTCGAGTGTCAGCTCCGGCAAGTCCAGCAACGACGTCGTATTGTCGTCTTCCTTTTGATTCTCAAACGACCCGAACTTCGACTTCATCTTCTTCAATGGGGCGATCTGAAGGAAACTGATGAATCCGAGCTTTCCCTTGTGGAACAATGGCGGAAACAATCTCAATTTACAGTGAAGGATCCTTTGATGGGTGCTTGAAGACAATGACTGAGAAACATGATATAAGTAACAGAAACATTTTTGGATTTTTTTTTTGTCAAAAGAAAGAATCAACGAAGAAGAAGAAATTATGCAAAATAGAGATGATATTAGAGCAGGGGTATTTATATTGTTCTTCTCATGTCGGTTTGGTGTGTGTTTACATTTTGGTTTCATTAGTGGTTAAATTATGTTTTTGGTCCCTTATATTTTGGGAGAACACATGAGTTACAAAATACTAAAATTAAATTATTAAATATTTAAAAAGATTAAATACATTATTAAAAATAAAAAATAAAAGAAATATCATAAACTATCAGGGATCCTAAAACATAATTTAACCACTAATCAAACCATATCACTCAAACTATTAACAAAAATCACCGTGAATAGAATTTTGGGTGAATTCCACATTTAGTACCTAAACTATCAATTTTGATTCATTTTAGTACCAAAACTTTCATTTTTTCAAAATCATATCTAACATTTAGTTTTTGTTTCATTTTAGTATACTGTCTTTAAAAATTAATCGTCGTGTCTATAGTCGCCAACCGTAGCATCCATTGGCCGATGAAGCCCAAACTTTTCAGCCAGCACCTTTTTGACCCCTGAATGTCATTTCGACCTCCATTTCACAGAAAATATCTCAGTCTTCCCAAATAGATGATATACTCTTCGACATTTTCATCCTTCAATCTCTATCATCAACTGTTTAATGGGTCTGAAATTGGATTATATTGATCGACTTGTCATTCTCTCGTGGTCTACCATTCAGATTGGTCGTCCGTCCTCCAAAGCTATGTCCCATCAACTCGCCCATTAATTTTTAATAGTGCGGTACTAAAACATAACAAAAACTAAACGTTATATAAGGTTTTGAAAAAATTAAAAGTTTAGGTGCTAAAATAAACCGAAACTGCTAGTTTAGGTACTAAAAGCATAGTTTACCCTAAAACTTTTCTAAAATTACACTATTTTATCAAAAGTGCAAGAAATCCTTAATATCGTTAAGCTAGAAATTAAATGACCTATTAATTCGTTTGGTTAAAACGTGGTGCTGAAGTTTTTGTGTTATTGACAAAGAAAAGAAAAGAAAAGAAAAGAAAGGAAAAGAAAATGAAAGAGAAGCAAAGTGGACGGATTTGTCAAAGTGCAAAACAAGGTGGACCTCTAAAAACATAAAGTGAAAATTAAATAATAAAAAATAACTAAATAAATGTGACACATAGGTTGAGTGTGAACACCATAGCCGCCATCTAACTTGGTAGTTGGGTTTTAGGAACTAATTTGGTTCGTTGGATGATGCCTTTGAAATTTAAGATAAAAAAACTATATATTATAATAAATGCACAATTTGTGGAAATTTTAGACTATGGGTCACATTCATAATCTTTTCTTCAATGGACTGTAGGTCTAATCTTAATGATTAGAGTAGATAAAATTTAGATTATTGGTTACATTCATGATCTTTAGAAAATTTTAGCCCCAACGTTTTATTTTATAACAAAATGTCTCACGAGTGGATGAAAATCGTTAATTGATGTAGCGATCAATGCTTCCTATTGATGTAGCGGGTAGTCCACGTATAATGTCACATTATTAAAAAAATATTTTTAAACTATTTTATATATATTTTTATAAGTGTATGTGTAATTAATTATAATTATAATATACTCTATTTTTTTTGTTGAAGTGGCATCACACGTGGACTTATCACGTCCGTATGAAACATTGGTGGTTAGTCAATTAACAATTTTCATCTAACCAAGGGACATTTTACTCCAAAATGGAACCTTGGGGGGCTATTTTGTTATTATGCCTTAAAAATCTCATTTTTCACGAACTAGGATCTCTCGAATCTATTAATAATAACACGCATACGTCTTACAGTCGCAACCGCTCGAACTCGATATTTATTTGGAATGTTTTACCATACTTGACTAAAAGAAATGTAACATTGTAACTAATAGAAAATTGTAATTTAATTGCTTCTTTTTGTAATAAATTATAAGTTCAACCACTTGGAAGCTAAATTATCATAACCGTCCAAATACAATGTATTAGATCTCCGGTTCCAATCACATGGAATTGAAAGAAGGTTAACCGAACCTTCGTAACATGGAGGACACGTGGCAAGTTTTGATTGGTAGATGAATAAATAATATATTTTAAAATATAATAAAATAGTGTAGGAATAAAATCTAGGGAAAAGTTTTTGTAAGATTTTGTGAGGTGACATGTCCAAAACCTAGGAATGAGATTTTTTAAAATTGGTAGGCTCATAATGGGATCCAAATTAGTTGAAAATTAGGTTGCCAAATGGTGTTAAATACCATTTAGTGAAGGGTTATGTAAGTAGGGATGGATCGAGGGGTGTTAGGGTACGGTCGTACCTTTTAGAATTTTTAAATTCTCTTATATTTTAGTTTTTTCCTTTGTATTTTCTATTGATTATTTAATTCCGTACACCCTAAAATTTTATAACTCCGTACCCTCTAAAACTTTTGATATAATTTATTAAGTTCGCCTGGCATAAATTTTCGTATCCGTTGGAGGCAAGATATAAGCTTACCCAAATCTTTAGATTTTGATAATATAATTGTTAAACTAATAATATTTCATATAGGTTTTATTTAATAGGAATCTTCATTGACATGTATAACTTTTATAGATTAAAGAAAATCCCATTGATATGTATACTTTTTAGGGTAAAGTATACAAATGGTCCATCGATTATAGGGTATTATTTTGTTGAGTCCCCTGACTATTAAAAGTTACAAAATAATCACCCTACTATAGTATGTTGCCTTTTTGAGTCCCTTGACTGTTAAAAGTTACAAAATTGTCATCCGACTATTCATTATGTTTCAATCTCGTCCTTTTTTTTGTTAAAACATTAATGGCAGTTTGAGATGTATGTTAATTTGTTGTCTGAGATATGATATTCGTTTGATATTCTAGATCAGATTTTATCATATCTCAAATATAGATTAATATCCAACTTAGACTACCGTCAATTTGTAACGGAAAATGACGAATTTGAAACATCATGAATAGTCGGATGACTATTTTATAACTTGTAATAGTCGAGGGACTAAAAAATAACATCCTATAGTAAGAGGACCATTTTGTAACTTTTAATAGTAATGGAACTCGACAAAATAACACCATATAGTCGAATGATCATTTGAATACTTAATTATTAAAAAAATTAATCATCAACTCTCAATAAAAAAAATATCAAATCCTATACAATAATTATTATTCTTGTAGACCTTGACCTTGTGTCGACAAAATTGGTTTGTAGTTGGCGAGGATGTGATTGGAACAAAGAAGTTGTTTCAGTGGTAAAAGAGAGTATTATTTTCTTTTGAGATCATAGGTTCGAGTAACCGTGTCTTTTGGATGTATGTACGCTATCAAAAATTTATAAAAATTATGAGCAAATATTATCTTATAATCACCGCATACAAATAAAAAAGGGTAAAGTACACAAATGGTCCCCCAACTATAGGTAGTTGCTTTGTTGAGTCCCTTGAGTATCAAAAGTTATAAAATGGTCACTCAACTATTCATTATGTTCCAAACTCGTCCTTTTCCATTAAAAGTTTAACAGACGTTTTAGTTAGACATTAACATGTTGACTGAGATATGATAGCCATTTGAGATTATGAGATCATATTTTATCATATCTTATTCAGTAGGTTAATGTACAAATCTGATTGTTGTCAAAATTTTAGCAAAAAATGACGATTTTGAAACATAATTAATGGTTAGGTGATCATTTTGTAACTTTTAATAGTCAAGTGACTCAACAAAGAAACTTTATATAGTTGGATGGACATTTTATAACTTTTAATAATCAAGGGACTAAATAAAGTAGTATCCTATAGTCAGGGACCATTTGTATACTATATCCTAAAAAAGGTATTTGGTGATAGAAGTGGCTCCAAAGTGAATTGTACCCGTTAACTCTTAGGGTGCGTTTGGTTTACAGAATGTAAGATTACCAGTGGGAATAAAAGATTACCAGGGAATAAGATTACTGAGAATGTTGTATTTTGTGTTTGGTTGGTTTAGTAGGAATGTAAGATTATCGTGTTTGGTTAAAGGAATAAAATATTATTGGAATATATATTTGACCAAATTATCCTTATTATATATTTATTTTTTAACAAGTTGGAAAATATTTATATATTTTCTTTAAAAAAATTAAATTCATAAAATTTATATAACTTTTTTTACAAAATTGAAAATATAAAAAGGTTTAATGAAAGGGTAAAATTTTATTTTAACCCCTGAACTTCATATAAAATTTTATTTATAGACTTTTTTGCCAATTTAAAATAGTTTAAGGATAAATTTATAATTTAACCTTCGTAGAATTTTTATTATTCAATGATAGAAGAAGGATATTTTTGAAAAAAAAAATTAAGGGTATTTTAGTCCAAAACGCCGGTAATCTAACAATACCTAAGGGAAGGGGTAATGATATTCCCGGTAATATACCAAAAAATCCATTATTAGTAATAAAATATTACCAGAAATGAGATTTCCGACCAACCAAACGGAAGAATATATATTACATTTCCATGAAAATCCCACATTCCCAAAATCAAACAACCGCTTAGCGAAGAAAATGATAGTTATCCGTTTGACAGGGTGCAACGAATGAATATTATGAGGGATGTTGATTTGTGAGAAATACCATAATAAAAGCCAACCCCTGCTTTTTGTTGGCCTAACTTCCCCACCAATCTCTCTCAACATCGTCAATGCTTAATTTTTTTCTGTTGAAAATATTTTAGATCACGACATCCAATTTTGTTTAGGGTAAAGTACAGTTACCTCGACTATAGGTAGTGTTTATTAAGCCCCTCGACTAATAAAAATTACAAAATGATCATTTAATTATAGACTATTGTTTTGTTAAGTTTCTTAATTATTAAAAGTTACAAAATGATCACTCGATTATTCATTATATTCTAAACTCATCATTTTTCATAAAAAAAAAATTAGTGGTTGTCTAAACTGGATGTTAACATGATGACTGGATATGATAGTTGTTTGAGATTTTAAG